CCTAGCAATACCGAGCAATACCTAGCAATTCCCAAACATAGCAATACCGGGTTCCGATCTTATTCGGGTTGTCAGGCCGCGCGGTAAAAAATAAGAACACGTTGTGACATATTATTGACGTTCGGATGTAGAGCTACATCAAATATCTGGACCTAATAATTTTTCCTCGCCAAGAGTCAAATACATTGTTATCAAAAGATTCCTCCAAAATCCAAATGCATCTCCGGGAGCATAATAATTGAACAAATCTCGACCGTCCACGCAGTCTATTCCTCTGTTGATTAACAGCATTGCTAGTGCGCTTCAGCTATACTGCACGAACTTCCTTTCCGAGCCTTTTGCATCGACAAAATTTGTTACTTTTGTCTCCTTAACGCGTGGAAGACGTATAAAGGCATCCAATTCATGACACCACTACCCTTCTCCGTTGAAGCTGGAAGCACCGTAAAGTCTCCATCACTAAAAAATTTGAAAAAGAGCAGAGGCTAAAAGGGTATTCAAATATTTATAAATACTTAAATCATATTCAATGTAAAGTCTCAATCCTCCGGTGAAGAGACGTATATTATTAAAAAGTTTGAGCAGTGAACTTATTGTCAGAAAATTGGATCAGATGTTTGTGACCCATTTTTGACAGGTCTAATCAAATCAAAAAAAAAAAAAAAAAAGGCAACATCAAAGTAATACATATTTAAAAGTATATTCTATAGCTCGAGTATAACAACCCAAACTCTTAACTATCGAGATATTGTCCGCTTTGGAATAAGGGCCTCGCGGTTTTGCCATATTGGTGTAACTTCCCAGTAGGTTACCCATCCCAGAATTGTTCTGGGATGAGCACGCTTAACTGCGGAGTTTCTTATGGAAATTCCAGCCATTACACCAAACGGCGCCTCGATGTTTAAGAGTTAGGCTTTCTATTACTTATGGGATTTGTAACAGCCCAAACTCTTAACTATCGAGATATTGTCAGCTTTGGCATAAGAGCCTCACGGTTTTGCCCTGTTGGTGTAACTTCTTAGTAGGTCACCCATCCCAAAATTGCTCTGGGATGAACACGCTTAACTGCGGAGTTTCTTACAAAAATTTTAGTCACTACACCAAAAAGCGCTTCGATGTTTAAGAGTTATAGACTTTCTATTACTTAAGGGGTTTCACAATCTCACCTATTTAAGTAACTGACGTCCTCGTCAGAATCTGTATCCCAGAATCATCAACCAGGAAGATAGGACTCTAGAGGTGGCCCCTACAAGCTCAAGCGGTGACTCCCGTCATGTAACACTTTGTCCCACATAGGGTTCAGGAGGTGGCTCCCATGGCGTAACAATTTTTCTTGTATGGCACTTAGCTCCCATCTTCCGGCTGGTCTGATACCATTTGTAATAGCTCAAACTCTTAACTATCGAGATATTGTCCTATTTGGCATAAGGGCCTCGCGATTTTGCCTTGTTGGTGTAACTTCCCAGTAGGTCACCCATCCTAGAATTGCTCTAGGATGATCACGCTTAACTGAGGAGTTTCTTACGAAAATTCCAATCATTACACTAAAAGGCACCTCGATGTTTAAGAGTTAGGCTTTCTATTACTTAAAGGGTTTCACATCGAGTATGTACATGATTAAATTCATGAGATGGATATACTTGGATGATATCTCATTGAACTCGGGTATTGATAGTAAGACTCATCGAATGAGATTATTGACAAACTGGTTGAGGTTGGCTATCTAAGGCTTTGTTTAGAACAACTTTCTTACTTCTTTCTAAAGTAGATTTTTAATAATATAAAAATTATACAAAAAAGCTTATTTAAAAGCAAAAAGAAAACTGTCCCAAATGAAGCTTAAATTTGGCTCCCTGAGGGTGGTGTCAACTACTCGACAACTTGAACTCAAAAAATCGACCACCTAAATTTAATCACCTAAATGATTAAGTTGGCTAGTCGGCCACCTAAAATAATATCTTAATATAAAAGCAATTAAGGTTTTGTTTTGGACGGCTTGCATAATGTTTTTTAAAGCAACTTTTTAGTACAAAAATAAATTTTTTTGTACTATAAAGCTGCTATAAGAAGAAGTACGAAAGTTGTTCCAAATGTAGTCTATATAAGTATCTAAATTCACCAAATTCATTGAAGTTTTCAAGGCTTTGCACACCCTGATAGAAGTGATCCAGCTAAGACCCAACCCAAGCAAGTGACAAAAAAGATTCATAATGACTTAATTAAGGCATAATGACAAAAAGAACAAAAAAAAAAGAGAGGAGTCCATCCCATCAGAGCGACCCTAAGATTTTCTTTGAGGCAAATTTTTTACTGTTTAGTGAAGCAATTTTTTAGTTAAAAAAATTTTTTTATAGCAAAACCTGCTTCAAAAATCAGTAAGAAAGTTGTTCTAAATGAAACCTAAGTCATTTTTGTTGAACATATTAAGGTTGCGTTTGGGACAGTTTTTTTTCTGCTGCTTAGAGCTACTTTTTAGTTAAAAAATTAAAACATTTGTACTAAAAAATTATTTTAAGAAGCAGAAAGAAAGCCGTCCCAAACTAAGCCTAAGGCTTCATTTGAGAAAACTTTTTTATTGTTTCTAAACAATTTTTTAGTAAAAAAACATTTTGTACAAAAATTTTTAATTCAAAAAATTTGTTTAATAAAAAATTATTTTAGAAAGTAATAAGAAACATGTCCTAAATAAAACCTAAGATTTCATTTGAAATAATTTTCTTAATGTTTTCTAAAGCATTTTCCTAGTAAAAAATTTCTAATTTAAACATTTTTAATAATAAAACTATTTTAAAAATAATAAAAATTGATCTCAAACAAAATATAATCTTCTAATAGAAAAAGGACAACAGGTATATGTTTAAACCCCTATCCAATGCGAGAACCCGTCAACCAAAAAGTTCCTAGTCCACACGTACAATTATGAATACATAATGGGGGCTGTGAAAATTAATGCACTCAGTAAATAATCTAAATACGGATTAACTAATACTAGTTCAAATTAATAATCAATTAGTATGATTATTTTTAAGAACATCTAGGTATGAATCAAAGTAGAACATAATCTAACTCATTTGATTGCTTGCATTTTTTATTTTTTGGGAACCGGGTATCTACCACCTCATAAGAGGTGTTTGGTGGTGTAACTAATCGCTCGACGAACCTACTAGTAACCAGCTCCACAGATGCAGGACCCGCTGTTATTTTCTCTCCACTTAAAAGGCTGCGTTGTATATAAGGGGAATCGAATATGGGCTGAGGATAAACATAGGAAAATTCAAAAGAGTTATTTAGCTCTATTAACTCTTGAACTTCCTTTACATAAAAATAGACACCTTTGCATACTTTTTTTAGAGCCTTTTGATAAATTTGACCTGAATAAAAAAAAAATCTATCGAGCAATCTAAATTCTTCATCATTATTTTTTTATCATGCATTTAGGTGCCTTAATTTTTTTTTTAAAGAAGAATTTATTCCACAAAAAAGGGAAAGATAGAAGCAAGTCCAAAAGAGGACTAAGCATCACAAGCTAAAAGAGATCAGCCACAAGGAAACAAACAACCAACAAAAAAAGATCAAAAGAAATCGGGCTCACTTAGCGGCAAACAATCTGCGACCACCCAAACTGTAGACATGATCCATCCATAGGGCAAGCAACATGCCACAAAGAAGATAACCCGAATGGACAAGTATAACGACATCCCGCAAGAAGATCACCAAGTTGCCGCCATCAATGGTTGCCAATAAGCCAAATCGATCAGATGGAAAGCATATTCGCTTCATCATTGCCCGGGCTAAATACCCAAGCCACACCATCCAAACCAACGAAAGCCAGTCACAACTCCAAAGCAAAAATGCCAGACACCCAAAAAAAGACAATCAAAATCCCCAACCAACCCCAAAAGACAGCACCCAGACAGAAACAAACGCCACAAAATTATTTGGATTTCCTGCGACGACGCTTTCCCCCACCCAAGGAACAATATTTTTCCACAAAATCCCATCCCGACAAATAGAAAAACATCCAACCAACAAGAATGTTGAGCATTCTTCAACCTGCTAGCCAAATGAGCTTGCAACGTAACATTGGAAATTAGAGACACGGGTACATCAACAAAGTGAGCAGGTGCAAGCACCCCCACTGGAGAAAATGAAATCATTACAGGAGAAAAATTAGTTGTAACACCCAACTCAGAGGATCCATCATCCACCACCTTATTAACACCACACTGACCCTCTAACTATTCAATCAGATTGTCACCAGAAGTAAAATCAATAGGGGACTCCCCCCCTCCAAAATAGTAGGAGGGCCCAAACAAACCATAAGGACATCGACATTAACCAGGGAGCAACCCGCATGCATAGGAACCTTCTCTGTTCGGAGGGAACCAAACATCCACAACAGCCGTAGGAACCACAGGGTCATCGGCCACACCCTCAGGCACCACCACACGGCCCACCTCAGAAACAGGCTGATCAACATGGGCAACATGTACATCAACATTATTCGAAACAGTAGGGGCTAAAGCCAAAATGGGGATGTTAAAAATGAATTTAAAATAAATATAGGGATTTTAAAATATTAATATTTGGTTGGATGAAAAATGAATTTAAAATAAAATAATATAAATCAAAATAAATTTTATGGAAGGAATTTTAAAGTTTATGAATATATTTTTAGAAGAATATAATAATACAAAATTTTTTCCTGCTTTAACTCTCTCAAAAAATAATAATTAAAAGAATAAGTAATAACTATAAAACAAAGCATCCCGCATACGAACTTTTATTTGGTCCGGTGAACGTACGTATAGCTACGTTCGGCCGGCACTAAGATCACAGGAACAAAACGAGAAATACCGAGCAAATACCGAGCAATACCAACAATAACGAGAAATACCATTATGTAAAGACCAAATACCGAGTAATCCCAAAAAATACCGATTTTGTCTAGAAAAAACTCCGTATTTTTTAGGATTACTCGGTATTGCTCGGTATTGCTCGGTATTGATCTTCATAGAGCGGTATTCGATATTCCTCATTATTATCAAACAATAACCAGCAATACCGATCAAATAACTAACAAAAACCGAGTAATGTAGAGCTACGTCCGGTTTAGAGGACGTAATAAAGTTCCCCGCATACCTTCTCCAATTTCTCCCCATCTCAAACTCCGATCGTCATTCCCTACACTTCCCACACTACCAAATGGAAACCGACAGCGCTATACTCCACGACTTCTCCCCACTATTCCGTCAATACAAGTCCGGCCGCGTCGAGCGCTTCTCCGGCACCACCACCGTTTTCCCTTCCCCCCTTGATCCCACCACCGGCGTCTCCTCCAAACTCGCCGTTATCGACCCTTTCACCCCTGTCTCCGCCTGCTTATACCTCCCGCCCAATCCACCATCGAACTCCAAACTCCCCGTCCTCCTCTACTTCCACGGAGGCGCCTTCTGCATCGAGTCCGCCTTTTCCCAAACCTACCACCCCCACCTCACCTCCCTCGCATCCCGCGCCCTTCTCCTCATCGTCTCCGTCGACTACCGCCTCGCTCCCGAACATCCCCTCCCAGCCGCCTACGATGACTGCTGGTCCGCCGTCAAATGGGTTTTCTCTCGGGCCGATCCGTGTTTGGCCCGATTCGGGGATCTCCGCCAAGTGTTCCTGGCGGGGGACAGCGCCGGAGCTAACATCGCGCATCGGATGGCGGTGAGGGCGGGATTGGAGGGGTTGGGGTTTGCGGGTATTGCCTTAGTTCATCCCTATTTCTGGGGGTCAGAGGCCGTGGGGAGTGAGGGGAGGGAAGAGAGTTGGAGGGCGTGGATGGACGGGTTGTGGAGGGCGGTGAGCGGAGGGGGGAAGGGGATGGATGACGCGTGGATAAATCCGGCGGCGGAGGGGGAGGAAGCGGTGGCGAGGTTGGGATGCAGGCGAGTGCTAGTCTGTGTAGCGGAGAGGGATCCGATGAGGGAGAGGGGAAGGGCGTATTGGGAGATGCTGAAAGGCAGTGGTTGGAGAGGAGAGGTGGAGATTGTGGAGACGGAAGGTGAAGGACATGTATTTCATCTGGAGAAGACGGAGGGTGATGGAAAAGTTCGGGAGTTGATGGATGATTTAGTCAGGTTTTTTACCAAGGATCGCGAGAAAGGTTGGGAAGGTGATCGATTGCCCGATGATTGTGCGTGATCAGTTCTTCTTTTTGCGATTTGTATATCTTCAAGGGTTTGGAGATCGATTGGAGACTGCTCGATTGATTGAAGTTGAACCATTAAAATAGTTCGAACGTTGAATACTGCTGAGGAGGCGCCTGTGGCTACATGAAGATTGCTCCTTTTATAAGAATTTTATCAATCAAAACTTACTTCCTCTAATAAAAACAGCTTTTTTTTTTTGGGAAATTTTGGGGCAAAGCCCGTATATTGATCAAAAGGTGGTTACATGTGTAGAAAAATTAGCAAGAAAACTAAAATAAAAAAAAACAAACAGCAAGGCCCAAGGAAAAGACATCAAAATTGCTACAAAAGGCTCAGCAAAAGCCGAACTGAGGAGAAGGCTGAAAAACTATCAGCGCCAAAAAGCTAACGAACCATCTCCCGGTTGCCACCAGAAGCCACAGAAATGATCCAAGGGTGCAGGGAAAAATTTGCCAGGCCAAAATTGGACCAAAAAGGCCAAGGGAGGCCATCCAGGGAGAACCAAGTAACCACAGTTCGGCACATCATAGCCCGGTAGCAGGAGTCTGATCCACTTGGAACCCAGTTTGGCGGATGTAGCATGAGGGGAAGGAGGCAGCAAAATTCTCCCAGATTTTCCATCTGCGGGATTTGAGAACAATAGCTGATGCTGCCAGATTCAATACAACCATAGGAGATGCCTTCTTCTGCATAAATCTTCTGCTATTTCTTTCACGCCAAATGAAATAAACCAGGCAACAAATCATTAAAAAACTGAAATTCCTTTCATTTGAGTTAAACCTCTGAATTTCATCCAAAAACTCAAAAATCTGTAAGATAGTAGGCCTCAGCAGGAAATTTCCAGCATCAGGAATCAGAGTAATCAGCACTTCAAAAGAAAAATCACATTGAAAAAATAGTGGGAGGACGCAATAATTTTTCCATGCTAATAGATCAACTCTTGGTCTTCAAAAATCCTGAAAATCGATGACGATAGTTAAGAGCAAAATGAAAGAAAAAGTGAAATTACTCGAAGGATTTGTATGAACTTGTATTTGCCCATACCTACGAAAACTTCTATTTGAGTAAAATGTTTCCAAGGGAGATGGATGTTGGATGAACATGAGTTTTTTTTTTCAACTAATGTCTCAAAAAATGATTTTTAAATCTTAAAATACTTGAATAAATATTTTTTAATTAATTTAATAATCACCTAAATTTTAATTTAATGAATATTTATAATCTAAACTATGTTTTTCGACGAGATGAAGTATAATTGAAGGTTATTTTGATTGCAAAATATTCTTCAAGTCAAAATGAGCTCCTATATGAGATGATGAAAATGGAAAATCAAAGACCTATAATTTTTTTACACTTCAATAAATTCTCTTTCACTATCATGCATGCAAAAATTTAGCACGCAACAAACTATATTGATCATTTCTTTCATTACTTCTGTAGTAGGTAATTGAAAATTTTCTGATTTCTTAGTACGTATTAATCTATTATTCACCAACTATTGTTCATGACTATTATTTTTAAACATTATAGTTATTGACTATCTCAAATCTATAAATTCTATAAATTGAGGGTAAGGGCTACAATAATTGAATGAACAAAAGAGAGCTAGAGAGAGTCAATTATAACTTTTTTTTTATACATATTATAGTGAAATTATCCCCTCCCCATGAACATAGACATCTTCACCGAGCAATGTAAATTGCCGTATTCTTTGTATTGATTTTGCTATGATTTGAATTTTACTTTCACTGTTCGCACAACATCTTTAAATTAAAAATGATTTTTTTTATTCTTTTTGCAAAAAAATGTATTTGATTCAAGATAAAATATGATTCGAAAATATATTTTTAATGTAAATGATTTTTTATCTGTCTTATATCCCACACAGTTGGATAAAGGCTAGTTGTTGTTGTCATTTTATATTCCCTACAATATTTTTTGTTTTTAGGGTTAACATGCTGGCGAATAACCTGTACTATGAAATGATATTAACTCACTACAGGAAAATCATGTATTACCGCCGGATTTTTTGGCAGATTTGGAAGTTTTCTGATGGATTTCTAGCGAAATTTTTTTAATAATCTATAAAATTATTAATCAATTAAATTACGAATATATGATTTTTTCATAAATTATTAAGGAACTCCATCGAAAAAACTAACTGAAGATCTATCGGAATTTTATATCGTTATCCGCCGGAAATTGTTCCGTCAGAAATACGCCGGAAATTCCATCAATAATGAGCATTTTTCTTGTAGTGCCTTAACATACACCACTAACGATTAACTATCATAATCGAACGCATACAAGCATAAATATTGCAAAATTCTCCACACTCCACCTAGAAATTAACTCTTCAATGCGTGTATGCGCTAATGCATGATGTAATGGATGATTGTAGTGCTTATAATTCATGATCAGTCTTCTCACGTTTGAACAAACTTAATGATACTCGACGTTGACAATGATGAACCAACTGTTCAAAACGCACTAATAAGTTCATATTGCTTGGAAAGATCGTGCCTTTGAGAAGATCATATTGTTCCCTCGTATTGTTTGGCTATGCTATTTGATGAGTAAAATCATTAATTGTGTGTTGCTTTTTCAATCTTACTTTGAGGCACAATCCATTGTCTTGTATGCCAATTCTTTCAGCACGATGTGAGCTTTTGGAATACACTACAACAACTATAGCCATACAAGTGTGTGTACAAATGGAGCAATTGTTGAGGTCTAAACAATTCATGAGCTAAAGTATCATGGCAACAAATAATGTCGGTAGAAATTACCTGCCTGGTAGGAATCCACCGACACTAACGCGTACTTGTCAAGGAGTTATAAAAAATAATGCTATGATTTTACATCTCAACTTAAAAAAATTAGTATTTGCTCTAAATAGGGGTGTCAAAACCGGGTTTCGGGCCGGGTTCGGTGGAACCCGAAACTAACCCTAGTTTAAAAAGGTCGACCCTAATCCGACCCGGTTATGTAAATGGGCTGGGAATTTGGACCCGACCCGTCATTTTAGGCGGGTTGACTCGACCCAACACGATTGCCTTGGACGGCGACGGCAACACGACAGCCCGCGGGACATCTAAAAGATGATTTTACATCTCAACTTAAAAAAAAATATTATTTGCTCTAAGTAGGGGTGTCAAAACCGGGGTTTAGGACGGGTTCGGATGGAACCCGGACTTGACCCTGGTTCAAACAGGTCGACCCTAATCCGACCCGGTTATATAAACGGGCCAGAAATCCGGACCTGACATGTCGCTTAGGCGGGTTGACACGACCTACCTGACTGACTCGGACGGTGACGGCGGAATGGCGGCTGGCAGGACGTCTATAATACAACTTAAGCACACACAACAGAAATATGTTGGCTAGACTTCACTAATACAACAACTTTGCAAACTACATCATCTGTTATGTGTTGCTACAGAACCACCACTAACTGGATAGTAACATATTAGATTAACTGTATAAGCCAAAGTATTATATTTTAATGCCCAAAGAACACTTTGTTTAAGGTTCTCTTGGATAATGGGTTCTGGAATTTGTATAGAATAATTTCTTCTACCACATAGGTCAATGTGAAATCCTCTACCTCTCAATTTATTTTTGGTAATTTTGTTTATTTTCACTTTTCAGATTAACATTTGAATGAAGTCTGCCAATACCTAACATATGATAGAAAAAACAAATTTTTTGAATCATTTAGTCACTATATTTAAGTAAACATTTCATTTTAAGAGTGGAAAATAACTGACTATGTTTATGTGTACTGATTATTTGTTTTCCATTTTTTAAACAGATTAAACCATGTAAGTTTTTCCTATAGTTTATTTGTTTGCCATTTTTTAACGGATCAAAATCTTGCCAGAAATAAATTTTCAATGGATTCCTCTAAATTTTCGACCAAATTTTCTCCTGGGAAAGGACTATTTTCCTATAATGAAGGGGAAATATTAAATAAATATCTATAATACGCCAGATAATCAAGCAACTAGAAATGCTTAACAGGCAAAACAGTGACTATATACCAACCAAATTACCCTTTTCTTAGCACTCTTTTCCATAAAAAGGGGTCATACAATGTCCTTCAAAAGTTTACCCAATTTAATCATCCATCTAATAAGGAAACACTTGAAGATTTCAAATAAATCCTATCACAAGAGAAAAAAATAACGAGAAAACTCCACGATTCCAATGAAAAACCAGTGAAAACAGAAATTTTATTGCGAGAAAAAAAAGATACAAAAGCTATAATAAGTCTATAATAAACTACCCATATCTTTCTTATTTTGCTCATTAATCCTGACAATAATTCTAAATTCAGGAAATCTGAACCATCAGCTGACTCAGATCTCAAGCTCAATTAACTGAATCTAATCAGGAACAATTCTATGTCATCATATTATTATACAAAAGCTATTTATCAAATTAAAGTAGTACTGAAACAAGAACAAAAAAATATGTTTACATACATCAATATACGTATAGAATTTAAATACATGATATAATGTCAACCTGCAACCATTGCATTAGACAAGCAGAACAACAGGATCCAGCAAGAAAGTGTATAAAGCAAATGCAATCGCTCAGCATATACAAAGCTTTCCTAGTAATGATAAAGAAAATAAAAAAAAAAAAGATATTTCCCAGTGATTCAATAGTGTAAAAGAGATTTAATAATGTACATAATTCCTTGGGAAGGAAGCCATCGCATATTGGCTCAATCTATGCAAAAAAACTTACTGAACAGCAAGCCGTTGAAGATGGTTGAGGAAGACTTCAAAGCTAACATCGTCTGTAAATAGGACATCACCACCTGGTCTGAGGTGAGCATCGGAATTATACGTGACTGAAGGGTTCAGTTTAGCCAACAAGAAGCGAGCCTGCTCAAGTTAACAAAAACCAGATATCATTCTAAGCTGCAAGATTTTTTTGACATATTTAGCATATACTGGGTGATTTTGAACAGTGAAATATACGAAAATAACTAAACTTTTAAGAGTTCTTCAATATATCATCCAGCCATCCTCATTTTTTCCAATGCTAGATGAAATGATTAAAAAATTATGAAAGTGAAGGAAACGGAGTCAGATTGTAGATCATAATTTATGTTGTGATCATATGTTTAAAAACCACAAAGCAGGGGAGGCAAAGTGAAACAAACATATATATATATATATATCATTGACTTTTCTCTAGGAGAAGAATGGCTCTTCTCCTTGTAATTAGATTTCGATGTTAGGCCCACAAATGTAAGATTACAAACATCGAATCTCCTTAAAATCATTAAAAAAAGTGGCTTGCTTGATTTAGAATCATTATAAACTAGATTTTAAAAAAAATTATTAAACATTTCTTTAATTTCAAAAATTATTAATAACTCTAGTTTTAATTTAGAATCATTATAAACTAGAATTATTAATAATTTTTTTATTAAAGAAATGTTTAATAATTAAAAAAAAATACTATTACTTGAAAATTATATTTAATAAATAATTTAAACCCCAAAATTTGATGTTAGAACCAGAAGTGCCTATTTTTAAGGAGTTTAGGACTAAATTGGTCCCTCAAAAGAGTTGGGGGTTGTTTTGATACCTTGCAAAGAGTTGAGGGACCATTTTGATCCTTTTCTCTTATATTTTAATTTGAGTAACCTATAAAATATAAAAATTAAACAATACATCACATAATTGCAGCCCTACATATAATGAAATTATGAACTTTTTTGTCAGACAAAAATTAATAGTAGAATAATAGAATAAAATGAATTTTGGTCACTACCTAGTTTTAATAGCAGAGATGAAGATTGACGGGTCTTGGATTTTGATTTTCAGATGATAAAGATTCAATATTTTGAAAGAAAAATTGATATAAAATTATATATATTATAAAAGGCACAATCTATACCAAATAAGTGTGTATTTGGGGCAATTTTAGCTAATATAAAATTAGTTATGACACTATTATACAAAACAATGATTCTTGAAATAGTTGGTTAATATGTTGAAATTTATTAAGATAGAAATATAGCAAACTTGAGAGGATAAATTAACAAATAATTATATCAAAAGAACAGTTGAAGCGACATTCATTGAAGATAGGTAATTTAAAATAGCCTTAGGTGATCTAGAGATGTACGATGAAGAGTAAAAAAATGCATCTCTTAAACAAGTGGATAAAGTTAGCATTAGAAAATTAGGAAGGAAAATAGGTAAAACTAAGATAGCATGAATAAATATTAGTTAAAAAAAAAAAAGTACAAAAAGGGGTCTAACATCTCAAACAGCATATGCCCGAAATGATGGAAAATGAGGATTCATAAATTCAACCGCAGATAATTGGGGTAAGGCTAATGATGATGATTTATTTGAACAAATCAATATTGTGTTGTATCCAGCTAATGAAAAAGCAAACGAAGAAGTTAATAACGTCTAAAAACAAGGCATTTTATCTCTCCATAAAAGATAAATCAGCATCCAACATTTTGAGATTGGATCAAAAAAATGACTATGAAGTATGAACTAACAAGACAGCCTCTGTTTTCAAGGACGTAGAAACACAGTAGTCATTAGTAAGAAATCAACCTAAAAGCACCACAATTGAGTTCATGAAAAACCATGCGGATTCAGCATTACGACATTGGGATAAAAAGGTCTTGATTATGTAGGATACATAATATGTAAGAATATGCTTAATTAGTTTTGGGCATGCATGTTTTCTGAGTTGGGAGGAAAAAATGTATATGCAAGCCTATAAATTTGTATAATTAAAAGCAGAGCCACTATTCATTCTTCTGGACAAAGAAAACATATTTATCATTACAAGCTTGAACATAAGCACTGACATTACAAACGTGCCAAGATGAAAATTTTAAGAAATAAAAATCATAGCGTTCCTATAACAAAGTTTATCTTAATTTAAACTATCAAATCAAGCTTGAAATTTAGAAATTTAGAAATATGAGATGATTATCTAAGGGTATCAAAAATCAAAATACTAATTTTGAAAATTTAAATCAAACACACTGTGTGCAATATCCAGCAGGGAGAGCTGAAGTATCCAAGTACCGAAACATAAACAGTTATAACATGCAATGCTAGTAGACGCAAACGTGCTAACCACAGACCAAAAAGACCAAGTGAAAAGTAACAATTCCGACTATAATAATTGCATTTTAAGAAGGCTTTATAGATGCCAATTGCAGCAACCTTCATCAGCCAATGAAATGATCAATTTTGACTGTTAAATGTCGATTTGGCAGCTTGTATCCATTTGTAACTGAGGATAAGAATTCAAAAGAGAAAAATGAAAAAAAAAAATGACAGAAAGAAAATAACCTGTGAACCATATTGATCACAAATGACCAAGCGAGGAACGGGGAATCGTTCCTTAATTATCCCTTCAGCGTCATCACGAGGTGCTTCCAATAACTGAGCAAAGGTCTACAAGATATATACCATTAACCTTGCAGTAAGAATATATGGATGATCCATTCATGAATATACAAAAAATGAAATTTACCAATAAATCATGCCTGACGCAAGATTAAAGATGATAGAGACTAAAGTTGAAATCAAAAATTTGAAACCAATCATAGAAATGAAGTGTAGACACGTCAGATTACAGATAATAAGCAGCGAGAAAACAAAGGGATTCATATGCAATCTACTTGAGCTGGATAACCACATTCAAAAAGAGTATCCCGAAGGTTGATTAAAAGGAAAAATTAAACACAAAAGATAAAACAATGAGATAATTTATGCTCTTAGTAAATGTTTATTAATTTCCCTAATTATACTCTTGTTGCGTCCTGGAGTATTCGCAGCGGTAGAGAAATATATAGTTTAATGTCTTAGAGTTGTACAAAGATCCAGCACACAAACAGATAAAAAAGATAGCGTGGTGTTCATAAGAGACCGGTTTTTAAGTGGAAACCCCTGAAAAGGGGGAAAAACCATGGGGCCTGGCCCAGTTTGAATGAATCCACAAGTATTTGCACTCGATTACAAATGAGGCCCTTCCTTGGGAGAAACCTTGGCTTGATGTCATAAAATGTACATCATATAGAACGCATTATATGATGGGAGTTACAATAATCAACATAAACATGTTTGTTTGGTCGGTAGGACCATAATCGATAGGATGGAGGTCGAAAAGATCGTAGTGGCAGGAGACTGAGGTCAGAAAGACCGTTGTGTGACGATGGAGGTCAAAAGGACCATAGTAGGCGACGGAGGTCGGAAGGACCATAGTCGACAGGAGACAGAGTTCCGAAAGACCCTAGTTGGCAGTAGACCGGGGTCAGAAAGACCGTTTTCTGGTGATGAAAGTCGGAATGACCGTAGTAAGTGACGAGGGTCAGAAGGATCGTAATCGGTAGGAGACCGGGGTTCGAAAGATCTTAGTAGTAAGGCGGTACTCCGGTAGAACTCCGGGCGCCAGGTGGTGGTCGGGCAGAAGTCCAGGCCTCAGGTGGTGGTAAGGTAGAACTCCGGACCTCATGTGGTCCGGCAGAAGTCCGAGCCTCAGGTGGTGGTCCGACGAAAGTTCAGGCCTCAGGTGGTGGTCCGACAGAAGTCTGGGCCTCAAGTGGTGGTCCGGCAGAAGTCTGGGCCTCAGATGATGGTCCGGCAGAAGTCTGGGCCTCAGGTGGTGGTCCGGCAGAACTTCGGGCATCAGGTGATGGTCCGGTGGAGCTCAGGGCCTCCAGTTGTGGTCCGGCAAAACTCAGGGCCTCAAGTGGTGGTCCGGCAGAACTCCAGGCCTGAAGTGGTGGTCCGGTACTCTGGGCCTCAAGTGGTGGTCCGACGGAACTCAGGGCCTCAAGTGGTGGTCCAGCGGAACTCAAGGCCTCAAGTGGTGGTCTGTTGGAGCTCAGAGCCTCTAGTGGTGGTCCGGTGAAACTCAGGGCCTTAAGTGGTGGTCTAGCAGAACTCAGGGCCTCATGTGGTGGTCCGGCAAAACTCCAAGGGTGGTCGAGGAGGAGCAAGGAGGCAAGAGTGATCTCCGATCTCTGCCATGCTCTATTACTTTGAGCCTCCTTTTCAAGAGGGAGGGGTCTATTTATAGATTTCCTAGAGTGGCATGGCTCATAAATAGGTGGGAGATCAAGGGTAAATGTGGAGTGGTTGGATAGACGGCCGATGTTGAATCCCTTGATCGTGGACCGTTCGCTAGACATTTGAATGTCTTAATGATGTCGAAATTCAGTGATATTGGGCTCGTTGGATTCGTCTCGTCGAGCCGCTCGATTCAACTATAAGCATGTCATGTTTGGAAACAGTTTGATAATCTAAATTGAGGTTCAAACCCTCCAACAATGCTTCAGACCCTTGATTTGGACCAATTTGGGCTCGGATTGAGTCGAATTTGGTGTCGTTGGGTTCGTATTTCAGAGATGTTCAGTTCAACTATAAGTTTGGCGAAATCAGAGTTTAGATGATCCCAATTTTAATTTTGGAAGTTTCCAACTTGATTTTCCTCGAGATTCGTGCCCGATCAAGATAATTTTTTGATGATGTATCAACTCTGAACTAGTAAGTTGACTAGTTTCCATAAGTTGATTCTAGTCAATTCCATATCTTGGATTGAAATTATACAAAGTTGTAAATAAGCTATATATTTTTAACAAAGTTCAATGATAGAAGTGTTGACTAAAAAAGGTGAAAAAGACTTTACGTGCAATGCATGCACCTCTCCATCACACGTCACCCGTACCAGCGAATGAAACCCCTCCATTTCTTCCCAACCTCTCTCTCTCTCTCTCTAACTCTCTCCAGCAATCTCTCTCACCATGACAATAATCTACATCGAGCCCTATCCTGCTGACTCCGGCATGCCATACCCATGCCTTTGCCACTATCATCGTCATTGACGCCATCACTTGCATACCAGCGAACCCAACATCGATATCACCATTGCCCTAGCCACTGTTGCTCATAGCTCTTCTCCTCTTCTTCCTCTCTTCCACTTTCACTCTCTCACTCTTTCTTCTCTTTCTATGTCTCTCTTCCTTCCCCTCTTTCTCTCTCTTCGCTCTTTATTTCCATCTTTCTCTCTCCTCACTCTTTCTTCCCCTCTTTCTCTTTCTCTTGATCTCTCTCCTCTCCCTTTCTCTTTCTCCTGGTTTTTGGCTCTCTCTCTCTCTCCCTATTCATCTGCCTTCCACAGTCTTTCTCTCTCTCTCTCCCCTTGCTCTCTCTAAAAAGAGAGACAAAATCCAAAAAATAATAATAATTCATTGTGTTCACCTCGCCCTAGCAGCTTTCAACACCTCACGTGAAGGTATAAATCTAGAAACTTTAAAACCCTCAAAATCTCCAACACAACGCATTTAGCATAATGAGCAAAACCCATGTGAGTTTTTCTTAGCATGGGAGAGGAAATTCGTAAGCGATGTTCACAACGCAATGGGTAAGCCCCTGCGCTTTTTCTTTCCAATATAGAGAAATCAAATCTAAGTACTTGTTTGCATTTTTCTAACATCGTAAGAAAATATTGCAGACTTAAGAATAGATACACGAAGATTGATGCACGCCTTTCTTGGCACTGTGTGATATAAGATCATCCAGCCATGGAGTATCATGACACCAACCATGCATATTTTTCTAAGCATGGTGGGATGTCATAGCAATCCCAAATAAATCCCCTATGCAAAGGACACATCTGTAGGTTGCTAAATTTACACTTACAATGGACCCAAATAGAACAAAACAAAAAGAACTTCTGAACAAAAATTAGAAATTAAAATGTGTTAAGCTAAGAACCATAAAAATAATAAAATGAGAATGAAATAAAAAAATAAAAATAACATTGAAATTATTAGGACTTACAAAGAATATTTAATAAACATAAAAGCTTGCTTGCAAGTACAAAACTTCCTCACCACTACTAAAAACACACCTAGATAGTAAACCATTTAAGATCTTATTCATAGATAGAAAGAGCTGCCTCATATGGGGCCCACCAAATAAAATGCAAGTCACATAGGTGAGGGATTCCAACTCATGACATTTCAAATAAGATCCACAACACAGGCACATGCGGAATGCAAGTAATAATAACCAAAAATGTAAAGTCACGAACAAGCTCTAATGACAATGCATTCACAGGAATAACTGTTGCGTCAAACCTCTATACATCTCAGATAGTTGCATTCATGTGAATGATTTGCAAACAAAATGAAACGCTCAAAAATGTTACACGTCACAGGTGTATGAGTGGCTTGAGAAATGCACTGTGAATAGTTAGTGCACCTCGTGAACAAATTTTTTTTAAATGAGACAAAGTAATGCACTATTGCACGTCATGGGTTGCACAACCATTTTGATGAAGTGTGCAAGTCACATCAAATTACCAGAAATAATTTTGTACATGCGTTCACTAAATGTACAATGCAAACATTTTGATGAAAGTGCAAATGTATTATGTAAGCACATTGAAGACATTCAAGTATGCACGTGCATCAAGTACACTAAGAAATGTAATAGTGCACTAGAGAATGCACCATTAAATGTGCAAGTACACCTTACAAATGCATAAAAAATAACTATTGAAATCAATAAACCTTCATGTGCTCTAACAAATGCATTAAATTTCTAAATCCTATGTCTGAGAATATTTTGCAGGTTAAAATAAAATGAATTCAGTTTGCTTCACCACAATATGCATGCAAATATTTGGAAATTGTTAGGCCGGTCAACATGGGACCGTCTTAGGCAGACAGAGGCGGAAGAGTTTCGCCTTTCCTATATGCACCGACCGAACCGCATGAGCCAATAAAGCAGTTTAGGAATGATTTTTGAGGGAGTTAGGAGGGAAATTTGAATGTAGGGATTGTTTAGAGATTTCCTTTTGGATTGTATACATTAAATAATTTGTTTTCCTAGAGTTAGGGCATCTTGAATTTGGCTGAAATTTGATCTCTTAGGTTTTTTCGGCTCTAGCGGCGTCTAGAGATTTGGGAAAGATAGATCCTCCTCTTGAATAGATGATCAATTGTATCTTGTTATTTTCCTTCCGTTAGTTTGATTATTCCAATAAAAACTATTGTTTTCCCGACTTTTCATTTGCATTGGTTGATTTTTCTCGTTGCTTTTGTCAAGATCGTTAGGTTTCACTTGAGATCTTCAAGTGTTTCCTAACAAATTGGTATCAAAGCAAATTTTCTAGGCTGAAATAGAAGTCTTCCTCGCTAAATTTTGCTGAGTTCCGTATCCGATCGTGTTGCTTTTGTTGATTGGATGCCAGAATTTGCATCAAACTTGCGGTTCTTACTATTGGAGCCTAAATCCAAGTTCCCAGGGGAGGAAGAAAGGTAGAGGTGTTGGAATGGGATATCAAACAATTGAAAACTCAAATTTCATCTCCACACTCAACTTTCAGATGTCAAAAGAAAAATTTCAACCATCCATGAGAATATGGATGAGAATTTTTCCAGCCT